GATGGACACACATCTCTCCCGTTCCAGGTAGTCGCACCCCGCACTATGGCTCTCAGACGCCCCTGCATGATGGCAGCCGCACTCCTGCCCAGAGTGGGGCCTGGGATCCCAACAATCCTAACACACCGTCACGGTGAGGGCCAGGAGCTTGGGGGCTGGGGCAGGGTTCCCTGAGCCACTGGGTGTGTGTGCCCATGTGTGTGAATGGTTCTGCTGTGTTTCTGTGTGATGGACGGGTCTGTGTGGTCCACCCTGAGTTCTCTGCTCTCAGCCCCAGGCTGGTTATGTGAAGGGGTAGGCAAGGCTGGGGCTGGGGGCAAAGTAATCTCTCCAGCTCCCATCGTAGTAGCATGCTGTGGTCAAGACCTGGGCTTGGAGACAAATTGTGTGATCTTGGTCATGTGACTTTGGGCAATCTCATCTTTATTTCCCAAGTCTCCTCACCTGTGAAATGGAGGCCTCTGGATGGGGCTGTTTGTGAGGATGAAGTTGCCTTGGTTTTGCCTGGTGTTCAGCACTGTTCTGGAAGCATTTGCTGTATCATTGCGATCACCACAGTCATTCTCAATAGACGTGTCTCCCCAACAGGGCTGAGGAAGAATATGAGTACGCGTTCGATGATGAGCCTACCCCATCCCCACAGGCCTATGGGGGCACCCCCAATCCCCAAACACCTGGCTACCCAGACCCCTCGTCCCCGCAGGTCAACCCACAGTACAACCCGCAGACGCCAGGGACGCCAGCCATGTGAGTCCACTGGGGCTAGCCCTTTATCAACCGCTGTCCAAACCCTCCCCACTGCCACCACCTCCTTCTCTCGCCTTCTAATGCCCCCAGCTAATGCCCCCCACCTCTCCTTGTCTCTGCAGGTACAACACAGACCAGTTCTCTCCCTATGCAGCCCCCTCCCCGCAAGGCTCCTACCAGCCCAGCCCCAGCCCCCAGAGCTACCACCAGGTGGCGCCAAGCCCAGCAGGCTACCAGAACACCCACTCCCCAGCCAGCTACCACCCCACCCCCTCGCCCATGGCCTATCAGGTACTGCTCACTTGGCACGCCCTTGAGGGTGGTGGGCTAGGATGGGCCTTGGGCCTATAGGGACAACCAGGCCAAATAACCTGTTCCCAATGACCCCATCCCTTTTTCCCTACAGGCCAGCCCCAGCCCGAGCCCTGTTGGCTATAGTCCGATGACACCTGGAGCTCCCTCCCCTGGTGGCTACAACCCGCACACACCGGGCTCAGGCATTGAGCAGAACTCCAGCGACTGGGTGACCACCGACATCCAGGTGAAGGTGCGGGACACCTACCTGGATACACAAGTGGTGGGGCAGACAGGCGTCATCCGCAGTGTCACGGTAAGCGCCCAGGCTGGTGGGTGGGCGGGCATCCCTTCCTTTGGGGTCCCCAGTCTCTCTGGTTACTGTTTTCTGTTTTTTTTTAAACTGTCTATCCCCATTTTCCAGTACTCATTTATAGCTGGATAAATAGATGTGGAAAGGTTTGGCATGTAAGCTCTACAGGCCAGGGACTTCTGCCTTTTGTGCTCATGGCTGGGCCCCCAACGGCCTGGGACAGTGACTGGCACCCAGGAGTGTGGTTACTTTTTGACATACTCTTCTAAGATCAGTTCAGTAACATGGACTAAGTGCTCCTCTGTGCCAGGCTTCGGCTTAGCGCCAGGCACCCACGCCCGCCAGGCGTTCCCAGCTCCAGCTCTGCTGGCCTTTCTCCATTCGTCTCAGTCACTGAATTCTCTGCAGCCTCAGGGCCTTTGCTTATTACTTTCCTCTGTCTAGAACTCTCTTCCTGTCTAGTTAACTCCTACTCATCCTTCAAGAAAGCACTTGGGCTGTCTCAGATCTGTCTCTTATGGGTCCGTGTAATTCTTTTTCATGTTATCTACCTGTTTAAAAGCTTAAAGTTTACCCTGGTGTGGTTCTTTGATTACCAAGCCTATATTTTCTTCCCAAGTAGCCCCAGTTCCTAGATGAGGGACTGACACCTTGTTGGCCCCTCAGTAAATATTAATTGAATTAGTTAAACACCAGAGAGGAAGACAGCTCCAGGCCCTACCCTCACAGATTTCACATTCCAGTGGGGGAGACAGACATGTCTCCAGACAGTGACAGCCCAAGTGGCCAGAGCTGGGATATAGGAAGCCCAAAGGGCAAGGGGAGCTATGTGAACCCAGGGAGGCACCTTATCCAACTTTGGAAGGGATCAGGGATGGCTTCCGGGAGAAGGTGACATCTGCGCTGAGACCTGAAGAATGAACAGGAGTAAGCCGAGAGAAATGGCTGGGGAAGGGGTTGAGTGTGTTCTAGATAGAGTGCATGTGCAAAGGCCTGGAGGTGAGGGAAAGCCTGGCACATTTGGGGGGTTGAAGTCTCTTCATTGTGGCTGGAACATAAAGATTCAAGGGGGAAGGTAAGTGATGAGGCCAGAGGAGTGGCTGGAGCTGGTCACATGCCAGCCTGGGGAACTTGGATTGTGTCCTGAGGGCACTGGTAGGTGGTGGAGGAATCTAAGCAGGGGAGTGGTGGGATCAGATCCGTGGTTTGGAATCAATTCACTGTGTTGCTCTGTCATAGTTGGATCAGGGGCTGGGAGCCCAGAGGGAGGTCAGGCTGTACTACAGGGCTGTGGGGAGGAGAGGAGAGAGGGAGGTGGGAGAGACCCTCAGGAGGCTGAATGGACAGGCCTCAGAGCTGGAGGTTGTTGGTGAAGTTGCTGACTAAGACGTGGTCTAGAGCTCTGGCTGGTGCCGGGGACCATGGGGCCATCCTTGAGACGGAGACCCAGGATGAGAAGCGAGTTGGGGGAAGAAACTGAGGCCAGTTTGGGACACGATGAGTCAAGAGCCTGAGAAACAGTCTCCCTTTTGGTCTAAGTTAGCTTCATGCTGGAGCTTCCCTTGCTGATCTGATCACCCTGCCCGCATACACCACAGACCCCAGGCCTTGGAACCAGGCCCAGCCTTCACCTTTCCTGCCCCTGTGTCACTTTGGGAAAGTGACTTCTTAGAATAAGCCCTGATCCTATGTCCCTTGAGCGGGGGGCGGTATCAGTCCTGTGTTGGGAGCAGGCCAGGCTGACCAGGCTCTCCCCACCCCCAGGGAGGCATGTGCTCCGTATACCTGAAGGACAGCGAGAAGGTTGTCAGCATCTCCAGTGAGCACCTGGAGCCCATCACCCCGACCAAGAACAACAAGGTAAGGGAGGACAAAGAGATGTGGGGGCATTTGGCTGCTGCCAAGGACCGTGACCCCATGTGTCGTGTTGTTCCCGCCTCCCCCCCCCAGGTGAAGGTGATCCTGGGTGAGGATCGGGAAGCCACAGGTGTCCTGCTGAGCATTGATGGCGAGGATGGCATAGTCCGCATGGACCTTGATGAACAGCTCAAGATCCTCAACCTCCGCTTCCTGGGGAAGCTCCTGGAGGCCTGAGGCAGGCAGGGTGGGCTTTGGCAGATGAATCTGGTAGATGGAGAGTGTCCCTCCTTCCTTTCCTGGCCCTTGGCTCTGACACAGGATCTGGGCCCTGGAGCAGGGCTAGCCGGGTTAATCAGGATTTCTTTTATTTTCCTTTCTGGATTCCTGTCTCCCTCCCTGATATTCATGGGAATCAGAGTAGAGTCGACAGGGACAGTCCCCACCTTCCCCAGCTTTCTTTTGTGTTACGGTCTTTCAATAAAAAGCTGTTTGGCCAAAAGTCGTGTGTGTGTGTGTGTGTGTGTGTGTGTGTGTGTGTGTGTGTGTGTGTGTGTGTGTGTGTGTGTGTGTTCTGGTTTGTAAGTGGGGTCATTTGCAGACCCCACTTACTTCCATGCTGTGTGGTCTTAGGCAAATAACAGTCCTACAAAAGCCTGTTTCCCCATCTAGAAAATGATACTCCCTACCCCAGAGGGCTGTTGAATGTTTAAGACATTGGAAAGAGATTATTAGAACAGAGCCTGCCATGTGATTGACAAAGTTACATCTTACCCATGCTCGAGTTAAGTGAAAATCAGTGAGTATCCCTCAGGAAGCCTAAATTGCTCCTTTGGTGCAGGTTACAGCATTTGATAGTTTTTTCTCTTGAGCCCACATAGCAGTGACACCAGAATTGCTGTAGCTTGTGTAAGGGCGTGGGGATGGGGAGCAGTGTGGAGAGTGGGCTTAGTACTTGACCTTCCTTCACTTTCCTCATTTGATATTCACGTCTCTTTACAAATGTAATATAAACTGTATTATAAAATAGTTCAGATGTTTAAAAAGGTATGTCAGGAGCACCCATGTCCCCACCACCCAGCATAGGAACCATATGTGTACCGGATAGGAAGGACCCACTAGAGCAGCACACCCAGTCCATTCCCCTCCAGAAGTAACCGCACCCTGAATCCTGTCTTTTCCTAACTTTGTACATTTACTACCTTAGTAAATGTCCCTAAATGTTGTGTGGTGGTTTACATGTTTTTAAAGTTTACATAAACAGTATCAGACTTGTTTTCCTCTCAAAATAATTTGAGGAAGATTCATCGTGGTTCCTGTAGCCTCTAATTCATGGATTTCCTCTTAATACCCCGAGTCCGCCAGATACGGGCAGCTGTTCTTTTGGCTGAACCTCCATGAAACTGGCTGGTTTTCCAGACCCATTTTAAGAAGCTCACGGGAGGAGGGGCAAGAAAGGGTTCGGAGAATGGGAAGGAAGACGGATGAGGCCTCTGGGCCGCACGTGAGTAATGTGTGTGAAGGTGGCTTTCAGGTTTTAGGACAAATCACGCAGCCACAGGCTCCCTCCGTTAGGGCTTCCGCTTCACCTCGGAGCAGTGGGTGTCCGGCGCCGACCTGCGGCGTGGGCGGTGGAACGCAGTCCGGCGCGAGGGGGGCGTGGTGCCGTCCTTCTCCCAGTCCTAGTTGGAGTGCCCGCGGCCGTGCGCCCGCAGCCCTTTGTCTCTCTCGGGCTCCCGTCCACCCGCCCCACCCCTGCACCACCCATTGGCCGCGGCCCCGGCCCGGGGCGGGGAGAGAGTGAGGGGGCGGGGTAGCGTGGCGTCAGCGCAAGATGGCGGCCTCAGCGGCGCCGTTCCTGCGGTTGCGGAGCGGGCTCCGGCAAGGCGCGCGGGGGCTGTGCGCGAGGCTCGCGACGCCGCCCCCTCGGGCCCCGAACCAGGTGAGCGGGGTGGGGGTGGGGGGTGGCCTCCGGGCGCTGGGGTTCCTTCCTGGAGTTCCAGGCGGACCGCCGCCGCCCGGAGGTTCTGGGACGCAGCACCTCAGGGTGCTGAATGGAACACCGCCAGCATTTTGGGTCTCTTCCCCGTTTCCCGGGGTAGGCAGCGCTTGCGTCCCGGGCTAGATGCTTGGGGGCTCAAGTGCGTCCTCTGGACCCCACCTCCTCGACCGCACGTGGGCGCCGGGGGAGGGGAGTCATTTGTTCCCCCATCTCAGTGACTGTTCAGGTAATACTTGAAGGGGAGGATCCGGGGACGCTGGAGTCCCAGCCAGGGCTTGCGGGTATTTTCCCCGCGGTGGTGGTGGTGGTGGTGGTGGTGGTGGTGGTGAGGTAGATGTTCGGGTTTCTGATTTGACCTGCCTCCATCTTGACAGAGACCCAGTCATTCTGACCTCCGGGTCCATTACTTCCGTGCCCTAAGCCCCAGCAAGAGATTGCTCCTCCGGCCCCGCTCCCATTCTCTCCCCCTCCATACCCCGCTACTGTGAGCCCCAGGCGTCCGGAGGAGTTAACTCTCCGTCCTATCCCCTTGAGTGTCCTTCATTGTCTTGCTCCAGGAATCCCAGTGTTCAGCTAGGCTCCCTCATCTTATCTCCCTGCCCAGCTTTTTCCAGCTCCAGGCCCTCCAATCTTTTGACTTTGGGATCCCGGGCACCAGAGCTTGTCAACTCTTGAACCCCTGGGATCCTGGCACCAGACAGTTTAGTTCTTGACCCTTCTGAGAGACCCAGTCTCCTGCCTGCCCCTCCAGGGACACAACACCTGGAGGCCATGTGGGTGGCTGCTTCCTGCCTCCCAACCTCCATCCTTCTCAGACCAGGGTGCCCAAACCACCCTGACCTTTTTTCTCTCCTCTCTTGGCCAACCTACCCCCTTTCAGTTGCAGGCTACAGAGATTGGGAGCCGAGCAGGCACTAAGGCCCAGGCCCAGGGGCCGCAGCAGCAGAGGAACTCAGAGGGTCCCAGCTATGCCAAAAAAGTCGCACTCTGGCTTGCTGGGCTGCTCGGGGCTGGTGGGACCGTGAGCGTCATCTATATTTTTGGTGAGGAACATATTCTTGCCCACCAGTTTTGTTCTGTTGGCCCGCTGTTCTGCTTGGGAACTTCCCCCTCTTTCCCCTAAGGGCTTCACCCGTCTTCATTCCCTGGCTCCTCCCTCAGTAGGGCAGCCAACTAGAATTTGGAAATGAGGGAAGTCACCCTACTGCTTCTCTACTCAACGTTCTCCTCTTTCTAGTTGGTTCCTGCACTAAGCTATGGGGAGTCAATTGGAAGAGAAGGAAGGATAGGCTGGGCCCACCCGCCTAAGCTACCTCTCCCTTCAGCACCCAAAACTCCAACCTTCCCCCTAGTCCCTTCATTCCTCAGAGACCCAGGAGACTCTGCCCCAGCCCTTCTTGTTTCAGAGGCCCAGGTATCCTGGCTACCAGCCCCCTCCTCTCTCTCAGGAGGCCGTGATGCTCTAGCCCGCTTCCCTCAGACCCAGGAGGCTAGGCCCCCTGCCCTTTTCCTTCCTTAAAACCCAGGAGACTGGATCCTCAGTCCTCTCATTCATCACTATCTACCTTACAGGAAACAACTCTGTGGATGAAAATGGTGCCAAGGTGAGCTGGAGAGAGTCCCAGAGCCTTACCAGGGGTCCGTGGGTCTCCTCCCATTTGGCCTGTTCAGGCTCATTTCTGGTCTGGGGTGAACCTCTCCCTCCCAGGGACCTTTGCCTACTCTTCCCAGGGCTCTGGAGATTCCTTTTCTGGGTGTGATGGGGTTCTGCCTCTGCCATCCCAAACCCTCCATTTTTCTCTCTACCTCCCAGATTCCCGATGAATTCGACAACGGTGAGTAAATAAGCACAGATTCTGGGGTCCCCTGACCCTCTCTACTGTGCCCTCCCCATTTGGTGCTCCCCCACTCCTCCATTGGGAGGTAGGGGAGTCAGCAGCTGGATGGCTTGGGGGGAGGGGCATACAAAGCTCCAGTCCCCTTCCCTGGCCCCTCAGCCCAAGAGCAGATGGTCAGGGACAGATAGATGGGGGAGGGGAATCCTAGGTGGGTGGGAGTGCTTGGGGAGAACTGAGCTTTCTATCGCCAGACACATGACTTCCTGTGCCTTAGATCTGAGCATCTGCAGCCCCTCACCCCCTTCTTTATGACAGCTTCTTTTTTTCCCACCAGGTCCCTACCCCATCCAACTCCTCATTTCCGAAACAATGCCTCCTTCCTTCCTCCCCCTTCTGATTAACCAGCTCTTAGGGAGCTTCTGACAAGTTGGATAGTAGAGAGTAGTTGTTAATTCTATCACACCTGGTCCCTCCCAAGAGAAATATAAAATTGGTAGGTCCAGAAAGCCACTTGTTTGTGATAGGGATGTTTGTAAACTGGCATGTTAGTACATTGATTGTTTTAAACTAGGCAGGTAGGTAAGTATGCTGTTTTAACTGGGCAGATGTAGAATCATACTGGTTTAAACAAGGCAGTATACTGATTTAAGTTGGGCAGGTAAACTTGTAGTTTTAAAGTGTGTGTGTTTATTAGCTTAAGTGGTGTTTCTATATTTTGGTTTCAGAAAGGCAGGGCCACAGACAGTAGTTTAACTGCACTAAAAATATTGTATTGAAAAAGGTAGTCATGTAAGATTTCTGTTTTAAACTGGATTTGGTGTATTCATTTATCCAAGATTTGTCAACCTCAGCCATTCTGATACTATATCATATAATGCTTTGTTGTACGGGAGTGTCCTACGCATTGTAGGATGTTTAGCAGCATCCTGGGTCTCTATCCACTAGATGCCAGTATAGTGACGGTCAAAAATGTCTCCAGACATTGAGAATTTTCTGGGAAGCAAGGAACAAAACTGCTTTTAGTTGAGAACCACTAGTTTAAAGTGTACAGACATGTGTATGTTTATCGTGGCTTAACTAGATTTCACATACTTGATTAAAGTGGGCACATCTGGAAACCTAGAGGTTCAAAATGGACTAAATATACTGGCATAATGTCAGCAGATTTATTTATATGTATGTGGGATTTAAGTGGGCAGATGTATAAGCATTCTATTTTATACCTGGGGTGGTGTGTGGATATAAGTATTCAGATTAAAACTTGACAGGTGAATAAAAACATTTGTTCCTACCTGGCAGTTAGATATGTCATTGCTTTTTACCTTTGAAATGAGCTGTTTCAAACCAGGTGGGTATGTAGACCTGTTTGTATCTGGTAGATAAATAAACCCCTGGTTTGTCCAGGAGGTTGAGCAGTGGCTTATCTTGGAATCCCTTTGTGCCCTGGTGTTCTCCTAGATCCAATTCTGGTACAGCAGTTGCGCCGGACATACAAATATTTCAAAGATTATAGACAGGTGAGCAGGAGCTCTGGGCGCAGTCCCTATCCCTTCACCCCCAGCCTCCTGCCTCCTTGTCTGAGTGCCCCCATTACATCTCTCTTTCACAGATGATCATCGAGCCCACCAGCCCCTGCCTTCTCCCAGACCCTCTGCGGGAGCCGTACTACCAACCACCATACACACTGGTCTTGGAGCTCACTGGCGTCCTCTTGCACCCTGAGTGGTCGGTGTGTCCTGGGGAAGGCAGCGGGTTAGGGACACCAGATAGGGCTGGGTGGCCGGCTTGTGATGATGTGGTTAAGCGCATAGACTCTGGAGGCCCCAGTTCCACTCTGTGATCCAGGGGAAGAGGTGTCACCCCTCATTGCCTTGCTTCCCTCAACTGTGCTACTCCGCAGCCCGGAGGTGGTTGTAAGTGTGCCTTGGCACACAGCAAGTGCCATAGGAGAGTCACATCCTCCATACTCCTAGACTCTCAGTCACAGCCATGTACTCCTGAACCCCTCCGAGAGCCACAGAGAGCATTCTGGTTCCGGGAATCCCCCGAGACTGGGTCTTTGTCCTCTTGGGGCTACAGGGACCTCCGGGTCTCAGTGTTTCACTGTTCTCACTGCCTTTTCAGCTGGCCACTGGCTGGAGGTTTAAGAAGCGTCCAGGCATCGAGACCTTATTCCAACAGCTCGCCCCTTTGTATGAAATCGTCATCTTTACGTCAGAGACTGGCATGGTGAGGCCCCTGGGGCAGGGGCGGGATGGTCGATGTGGCAGGAGGTGAGGAAGAGCTGCAGGGCCAAGGCTCAGCCTGACCTTGTTCTCCCCCCGACCCCACCCCCCAGACTGCCTTTCCACTCATTGACAGCGTGGACCCCCACGGCTTCATCTCCTACCGCCTGTTCCGGGACGCCACGAGATACATGGATGGGCACCATGTTAAGGTGCCATGTGGGGGCCATGGTGGGGCTCTGGGATTTGGGGGAGGGCTGGCCCTTCCCAAAGGAAAGAGGACCTAGCTCTGACCCCAGCCTCAACCTGTTTCTGGTTGAGAAGCAACCGGCTGCTTCTGGTTCTGCCCCAGGTCTGATTCTGGTAGGACACTAGCCTGCCGCCAGCCTGGGCTGGGCCTCTACGCCCTTTTCTCTGTCCCAGAATCTGGGACTGGGAGCAGGGGAAAATGGGGTCTCTCCAAAGAAAACAGTTGGGAGTACGGGGTAGGGACATGACATTGGGAAGTGGATTTTTGTCTCTGTATCTGGAGCTGAGTGTCTCTGGAACTATGTAATTATAATAGTTTAAATGCGACTGTTGGAATTTGACTTGGGGTCTGTTGCTGTGATTAATAATATATCCGGGGTCCAGGAATCTGTGGGGCTGTGAATGGGCCTCTTTGTGGGTCTTTGTCCAGGTATCTATGGGTCTTGGTGTCTGTTGGGTTTCTCACTGTGTCTTGGTGGGTCTGGGGGTCTGTGTAGTTTTTCAAGGTTCAGAAGGACATGGGCTGTGATTGAGGGTCTTGAAGGGTCTGTCTGGGTACTTGTCTTTGTGTGACTCCCTGTGTGTTGCTGTGGATCAGTCAGCAAGTTTACAAATGTGCAGCCTGTCACAATCACCTGGGGCAGTGGTTAAATACACAAGTGTCCACCTCCCTCCCCAGGGAACCTCCAAATCAGCCTGCCTGTGCACTAGGCCCTGGGTCTAGGAATCTGTGTGACTAGCTCCTCTGCTCCTTGCTAGGTTTGATGTCTTCATCCCAGCCTGGTCTTCGGGAAGCCGTGTCGTGATGATCCCAGTGTGTGATACCAAGTGCATGTGTAGTGTGTCCACCTCTTTCTCCCTCTGTGGGTTCCTGGTGGGAAGGGAAGGAGCACAGGCCTTGACCTGATCTGTCACCCACTTCCAGGACATTTCGTGTCTGAATCGGGACCCAGCCCGAGTAGTAGTCGTGGACTGCAAGAAGGAAGCCTTCCGCCTACAGCCCTACAATGGCGTCGCCCTGCGGCCCTGGAATGGCAACTCCGATGACCGGGTCTTATTGGACCTATCTGCCTTCCTGAAGAGTGAGGCTGACCCCTGACCTCCTGGCCTCTGACCGTGGAGCCCTTGACATTCAAGAGGAATGATAAGATGCTTGATTCTGGCTTGTTTTTTATATGAAACCAGGGACTTGCGATGCAGGAGATCCATGAGCATCTTGCAGTCTTTAGAAACTTCTTAGAATGTTTGGGATGCTCCTCTGGAATGTGTAGGGGATGCCTGGGAATATTCAGGGGAATCCCTTTTAGAATGCAGAGAAATGTTCCATGTAGCTCTGACCCCACCCCGGTCTGACCTTTACCCTTGCGGGCCCTGCCTCCCTCTGACCGTCAGCTGGCTGACCCCCACCTGCTATCCCCACAGCCATTGCTCTGAATGGTGTGGAGGATGTCCGAACTGTGCTGGAGCACTACGCCCTGGAGGAAGACCCACTGGAGGCTTTCAAGCAGCGGCAAAGCCGGCTGGAGCAGGTGAGTCCTCAGCTTCCCAGCGTGGGTGGGGGGTGTCACCGTCAGTTCCCCAGGCTCTTGACGGCGGAGCCGTGGAGCAGCTTGTCTCCACTCCGGCTGTGTGACTTTGAGCAACTGCTTTTTCTTTCACACCACCCGTCCCAGGGGGCCCTTTAATGAGGGGCGAATTGATTCTGCAGCCTGCGCTGAGCACAGGAGGCAGGAAACGCCAAGCATTTGAGATAGGTCCAGAGGCCTTGATGGTCTGGGGGTCCTGGTATTTTGTGGGGTGGGGGTTTGGATCAGGTCTGGGAAGAGGGATCCTTGGACACTTGGCCCAAGGGTTTGGCCAAGGAGTTCTGATGACCTGTGATCCTCTAATTTGTAAGTGGGGACAAGAATATGAATTGAGTCTGAGAAAGAGATTCCCAGGAGTCTAGGCTGAGGTTGATCGAGTTTGGGGTTGTGTTCCTGGCTAGAGCTCCTGAGTACCCAAAGGAGGAATCCCTGGAGATTTGGGCCTGGGATCATCCAGACCCAGCATCCAGACAGGGGTCTTAGGGCTCAAGACTGGGCACTGGGGGCTTAGGGAGTAACATGTAGTCCAGTGTAGGGCCTGGGTTAGGTTCCCAGGGTTCAGGGGACAGGCCCCCTGGGATTTGAGTCTGGGCTTCTGTGGCTCAAAGCTGGCTTTTGCCAGTGTCTGAACTGGGTCCTTCGGTTCTGGGTGCATCCTGTGTCTGGGCTGGGCAGAGGTTTAAGGAAGGTGGACCCTGGGCTGACTCTCCCACTCTGTCTGCCCCCAACTCCAGGAGGAGCAGCAGCGCCTGGCTGAGCTCTCCAAATCCAGCAAGCAGAACCTCTTCTTTGGCTCCCTTACCAGCCGATTGTGGCCTCGCTCCAAACAGCCCTGACCCCTGGGCCTCCTCAAACTCAGTGCCTGGGTTCTGGGCCCCAGGCCCAGTGCTCCCAGACCACGGCTTGGCCAACCACATGTCCAATAAAGTTCATCCCAGACGCCACACTGCTGTGTCCGGAGAATCTCCAGATGGGGGCATCGGTGCAGTGTGGGACTCTTCGGGGGTCGTTCCACAGTGGCTGATCAGCTGCCGAGCAGCAAGGGCACTCTGGTGGGTGATGGTTGGTTTTTAACTCTGGCCTGGGAATCCGAAAATCTGGGTAGGGCCCTGCCCTAGCTGTGTCTTCCCATGTGCCATGTGGTCTGTGAAAGTGCATCTCCCTCTTTGGCCCCAGATTCCCTATGGAAAAGAGAAGAGAGGACGGCACTGTGGGTTGAAATACAGGTAGCCGCCAGGCTGCTGTGTAAATGTGTGAAGTGTGGGCGCATGGGGCTTCGGTGGACCAGAGGCTGCCCCGCCCCATCTCACGAGGGCAGCTGCTGCTCAGCTCTGCCAGCCATGGCCCTGTGGGAAGGTGGGCCTAGAGTTGCTTGATCTTCTGGTTTTTCAGTAGAAGCCAGGAAAGGGGTTGTTATATTAAATCTCCCAATTTAAAAATGTTGGCTCATAACTAAAACAGACTGTAGCAGCACTCTGCAGTGGAGCTTTCCGCGATGTGTACCCCGTGTCATGTATCTCCACTGTCCGGAAGAGCAGCCAGTGGCCTCATGGGGCCATTGAGTACTTGAGATGTGGCAAGGGTAACTGAGGGATGAGATTTTTTTTTTTTTTTGCGGTACGCGGGCCTCTCACCGTTGTGGCCTCTCCCATTGCGGAGCACAGGCTCCGGACGCGCAGGCTCAGCGGCCATGGCTCACGGGCCCAGCCGCTCTGCGGCATGTGGGATCTTCCCGGACCGGGGCACGAACCCATGTCCCCTGCATCGGCAGGCGGACTCTCAACCACTGCGCCACAAGGGAAGCCCCAGGGATGAGATTTTTAATTTTGTTTCATTTTAATTAAATAGCCGCATGTGACTACTGGCTCCTGCAATGGACAGCACATTTGGGTATTATTTAATATTTAAGAGTGTTGAGTTCCAGACTGGTTTTTTTTGGCTGCGCAGCAGCACAGCATATGGGATCTTAGTTCCCTGACCAGGGATCAAAGCCTGCTGCAGTGGAAATGTGGAGTCTTAACCACTGGACCGCCAGAGAAGTCCCTCCAGACTTTTATAAACCCAAATCCAAGTTCGGATCCAAGCTCTATGCCATGTCCTGACTGTGTGATCACAAGCAAATGAGCAAGTTACTTCCCCTCTCGGTGCCTCAGTTTCCACGTCTGTGAAATAATAGTACCTACCTCATAGGCTAGACTTGAAGGCTGAGTGAGGTCCCCCAGGTAGGCACTCAGATGGTAGCTGTATGCACCTTGGGAGCACCTTTCTGCCTCCCTTTCCTCATCTCTAAAATGGGGGCGATGATAATACCCATTGTAATAGAGTGGCTGTGAGGAGTAAATGGGACAGCTCATGCTCAGGCTGCAATGTATATTCAGTGGGCCTTATTGTTATCAGGCCATGTTGGTTCTTCCCAGACTGAAATATCCTGTACCATTTTGGCAGTCGCGTGCCCCCAGGCTGTGTCAGCCTCTCCTGCTCTAGCCAGCATTTAGTGCTAGTACCAGTTAGATACTTTTAAAAACCCTTCCCTGGTATTTGTGAAAATAACTAAAATGTATTTGAAGCTGTGTGGGCCAGATTGAACTTGAACTCTAAATTTTTAAACAAGGCTCACAGATGTCTACAAATAAGTAACATTTGCAGCCCTCCACCCCCACCCTGAGGTGTACCATTTGTAATCCAGGAGAGAGTTTCCTCGATATCCTCAGGATTCCCTAGCTTGAGAGCATTTGCAGGATTGAGGGAGGGCCTGTGTTTCCTTTGCAGGTGGCTTTGAGTGTTGGAAACTCCTAACTGAAAGCAAGGTATTTGGAGAACATGATCCTGGGGAGAGGGTTTGTGGACGGAGGGAGCCACTGCAAGTGAGTGCTCGCCGACCACAGGGGTGACCCATGGGACCTTCTGAGAAGCTTTTGAAATGTGACTCAGATCTGTCCACCCACGGGGCATGAAAAGAGGAAGTACGTTTGTCCATTGTTCCGTGGCCCTGGGGGTTAAGGTTAGCACTCTGGGTGGCACATGCTTCAGTGTCCAGTGGGTTCCTCCAAGGCCTCTCCCCGACATTGATGCTGGTTCAGGGATGGTGCTGTCTGTCAGGTCACACCTGCTTAAAGCTGGATGGGAGGAGAGGGTTTGACTTGTGCCAGGTGGCCTCTGAGACGCTGCTTACATGACATGGCGTAGGATGTTTATATCAAATGCTCGGTGCTAGGGCTGCATTAGGGCATCATCCAGTGGGCAGGATTGGACCAGTGTTGAGGCATACCCCAGGTTGCACGCCACTTGCAAGCCCTGTGACCCTGGGCAAGGTCTCAAGCATCTCAGTTTGCTCATTCATAAGAGGTTAATAATAGTACCTCTCATTTGCTTACTCAACAAATATTTCCTAAGTACTGACTGCCAGGCCTCATTTTAGGCACAAGGGTGTATTGGTGAACAAACTAGAGAAAAAGCTCTAGAAAAAAAGGAGCTGATGTTCTCATGGAGGAGACAGAAAGTGGTCAGATATTTCTTGGGGTAAAATAAATGCATACAGGAAAGCATGGTGAGATAGAGTGGTTTGGGAACAGGAGTGCTGTTTTAGATTGAATGGGACAGTCAGAGAAGACCTCTTGGGAGGGTGTATTTGAGCAGAGACCAGAATGAAATGAGACAAACCATGGGGATATCTGGGTGTGCCGGGCATGGTCACCCCAGGGCCTTTGCACTTGCTATGCCCTCTGCTAGGAATGTTTTTTCCCCAGGGTCCATATAGCTCACTCCCTCCCCTCCTTCAGGTCTTTGCAGATGTCACCTCAGCATAGCCTGTGGGCTCTAAGGTGGGCATATAAGGAAAAGTCCTAGATAGCCAAAAAGATGCTTGGAAATCCCTTAAAGTACACATACAGACTTGAGAGAATTCACATGAAACACTATCATGCCTGGCAGAAACCCTCAATAAGGGCTGGCTATTTTTACAATCTTTCAAATTTTTGAGACATCTCAGACATGGAAACTGTTACCTCCCCAGTTATTATCCAGGGCAGGAATTTGCCTTCTCCCACAGCTTCTAATAACTGTCCAAATCTCATTTGAATAGTTCCTATAATGGGAGGCTCACTCCTTCACCTACCCCAGTACAGGCCCTAATTTGCCTCCCATTAACTGGGGTCCACAAGGTCTGGCTCTGTGCTTTGGGGCCACAGAACCTGTTTGAGTAGGGGGATGTGGAGGGAGGGCCTTAAATGTCAACCTTAGAATTTCAGAAGCTGGGAGGCACTGGGGAGCCATGGAAGAGTCTATGTAGGAGAGGGACATGGTCAGATTTGTGCTTAGAAAGACCTCATAGGCCAGAGTGGTTGGGGCTGGGATAGAGGAGTCCCCAGGGGCTGTGGGAACTTAGAAGAGGTGCCTGACCCCCTTGGGGGGTGTTAGGGAAGGCCTCCTATAGGAGGTGAAGTCTGGTAACAGAATTTAAAAAGAAGGAAGTGGGAAGAATATATCAAGTAGAAGAAAAACCTGTGCAAAGGAACCTGGGATGTTCTGCACAATTGACCATGGCCCTCCCCTGTTCAAAACCCTTCCATGACTCCCGTCCTCAGGATTATGAGAAAACTGTTTAGACTTTCATTCATTCATTCATTAAAAATGACTGAGCACTTACTGTATGCCTGGCTCTACTGGGCTGTGCTTTATTGAGCACCTTCTCCAAAAGAAAAATATGTACGTATATAATTGAACCTGTATTTCCCCCTATAATTATTAGCTTCTAAGTGTTAAATTTTTTTATTCCGGAAAAAAAAGTTTACTCCATCTAAAGGGCTTTGCTCAGCACCTGGCAGAGTAAATGATTAGGACTGGAGGGCTGGAACATCTGCTCTAACTGGCTTTCCTTGCGGTGGTCCTGGAATACTAAGGAGCTTCTGGAGGGCGCGGGGTGCCCCCCCCCATTCATCCTGGAGTGAGGGAGCGGGCCCCTGATCTGTGAGGACCGAATTTCCTGCCCATTTGCTGCTCACACCTTCCGGAGGCCAAACGGGCAGCCCAGCTGCGGCCCAAAGGGGGAGGGGCACGGCCGCCCAGCAGATGGCAGCATTTACATACAGCTGGGAGCCCCCTCTGAGGTGGGGGCTCCTCGCCCTGGCGTCTGGTGCATCCGTGATGCGGGTTTGGGGAGGGTGGCTTTGTTTTGGGGAGGGGAAACACACTCGAGCATGTGCGCGTGCACACACACACACACACATGGGTCCACAAAGAACACTGGATCTTCATCGTATCCACACAGGGCTACACTCATGGACCTCCCACACCCAGCCTCCTTCACACACAACCTTGCACAGCCATTCACAATCTTGCACAGACCTTACCACACACAAACACACACAGCCACCTAGAGGCACCCGCACAGACCACAAAGTCACAGGTTCCTATGACTACACACAGTGGTCCAGGAGCTAACACATTTTTGTACACCTGAACAGAGAAGCATCTACACAGCCACAGAATCTCAAAAGTCACACAACCATGAAATCATGTACATCTTCATTCTCCCATGCAGGTGTGTGTGTGCACGTATACACACACACACACAGAATCTTAGAATTATTTACAACCTCACAAAGAGGCTTAACCATATACAATTTCAAGCACGTGTGGAGCCACACAATCTGACCTAGACACACAATCACAGTCATGTACACCCGCCAGTAGCTCTGGCTCACACACCACACACACTCAGAGTTTTAAAATCATATCCAACCTCACACACAAGCTTAACCCCCCCAACCCCACCCTATCCTCAGCCACACAAATCATTACCACAACCGCATATAAGATGTACACTCACTGCATTGCCTGTGGCCACAACAGTCTCACGGCTGCTCCAGCACGCTCTCCTTCCCCTGCGACCTCCTCCCCTAGGGTACCCTGGAGCCGGCGGCTGCCCGAAGGGGCGGAGCTGTCCTCTCAGATAAAAGGCCCCGGAGCCAGCAGCTGCAGCTCCCAAGACCTCCGGAAGACCATGGTCTCCCCGCAGATGCCCCAGCTCCTCTCCCCGACGGTGATCCTGGCGCTCTTTTTCCTTCCCCAGGTCGGAGCCCGAGTGGAAAGGGTGGATGGGAGGGTGTGCGACCCGGGGGTCTTGGGGAGGGGGCGCGGGGCGGATGAGACGTCTGGGTCCCCGCAGTCCCCTCACCCTGTACCCCTTTCCGCCCCAGACACGGCCGGCCGGCGTCTTCGAGCTGCAGATCCACTCTTTCGGGCCGGGACCAGGCCCGGGCGCCCTGCGGTCCCCCTGCAAGGCCGGGGACACCTGCCGCCTCTTCTTCAGGGTCTGCCTGAAGCCAGGGATCTCCGAGGAGGCCGCCGAGTCTCTGTGCACCCTGGGCGCGGCGCTGAGTGCGCGCGGACCGGTCTACACTGCGCAGCCCGGAGCGCCAGCGCCTGACTTGCCGCTGCCAGACGGCCTCATACGCGTGCCCTTCCGGGACGCCTGGCCGGTGAGACCCAGCCCCGGGGCACGCTCGTGCTGGGGGCCTTACCCAAACCTCGACTGCCATCTGCCCTCCAACTTCCAAGACCCTGCCCCCTGGGGACCCCAAATTCCCAGTAACTCCATCATCTGGAATCTCACATTCTCAGACCCATAAACCCTACCCATAAACCCAAATTTTCTGATTCCGAATTTCCCTCTAGGGATCCCAGATCACAGCCTTGCATGCCTGGAACCCTGAATTCCCAGAACCCCAAACTCACCTTCTAGAAATCCTCAATTCACAGGACCCTACCCCTGTTCCTTGGGGATCCTTAAACACCGGTATCATCTTTGTCCCCAAATTTCCTTGCACCTAGGGAGACTTTCACACTCTGTCTTGGGGACCCCCAATATCCTCTCACCTTATCTCAGACCTTCCAGTTGGGGCCTGTATCCATGACTTTTTCACCTCCAAAATCCTATTTTCCATCCCACAACCCCAAAAGCATAAAGGTGAACAGAATTGTTTTTGAATTCTAGATGCTTATGCTTTTGGGCAAGTGACTTTCCCTTTGCCAGCCTCAGTATCCTCATCTGTAAAATGGGATCATCATGGTACATTACAGTGGTCCCTTTTGAGAGATTCAACCAGGTATCTTGAGTATAGTGCTTACCACATAGTTAGTGCTCAATAAAGAAAGCCAAAGCAGTCATTCCTTGCCTGGGCCAGCCTCTGGGAATTGTCCCTTGCCTGTCTGGTCCCTGGAATGGTCATCACTCTTTACCTCTTAAAATCTGGCCTTCATTGAGTACCTATCTGCCCTGACCACTGCCTTCATTCTTCCCTCTCCACCTTCCTCCACCCAACCAGGGCACCTTCTCTCTCATCGTTGAAACCTGGAGAGAGGAGTTAGGAGAACAGATTGGAGGTGAGTATCTTCAATTCTGGAACTTCAGTGTAGAGAGTGGGAGATCTAGGGGGTTGGGGCCCGATGTGAGGTCCAGGAGGGTGACATGGGGCTGTCTGTAGGGTGGGGCATTCATGGGATTGCTGGACCCATGATGTCATCACAGCTCCCGGAGTGTGGTGCTGGGTGTTGACAGCCCCAGGGCTCTTGCCATGTTGACACAGAAATGTCCTGATACCAGGCAAAGCGGGGGGGGGGGGGGGGGGGTGGTGTGATGAAGGGGGAGATTGGGATTGACATGTATACACTGATGTGTATAAAATGCATGACTAATAAGAACCTGCTCTATGGCGTGGCAGGGAGAGGCGGGAAGAAGCTCTCTTACTATCTTGGAGTCGAAGCAGCAGCGTTTCACAGTCCTGCTCTGTCACCATCTGATTTTGAGAACCCAGGGTACAATATGAGTTACCTTCTGGTTCTTGTAGGCAAAGCTCTGTCACCTTGTCCATATAGAGGGCCTCAGGACCCCTTTAGGATGTTGCAGTTTCACCAGAGAGGTTTCAGGGAGGGATATGGGATGATCTTAACCTTAATTCGAGGGGGACTTTGATGCTATATAAGGCCCAGAGAGGGGGTTCTGTCACCATTTTGATACAGGAAAATCCTGAGGCACAATTGGGGGGTATTTTTGATCTCACTTCAAAGACCTGTCATTGCCCCTTGGCCATATTAGGGATATCATATGTCCCAGGGTGTTAGGGGTCTCATAACTACTTTAATATACAAAGATTCTGGGGCAAAATATAGGGGCACTTCGGCTTCTCTGGGAGAACTGTTATCATCATGATGGTCATAGGGTTCGCGTCATCGAAGATCCCAGGGCGCATTAGGGGAGTTTGCAGCCTTGCTAAGTAACTGCCATTCTCAGGACTCAAAAGGGGTGTTTTGGCTTCTTAAGATGGGAAGGGAGAGTGAGAGCCTGCGCGCTCCGTCTCCATCCCGAGACCGAGGCAGGCCGCAGCCTAGCACATCTCCCTTCTCACCTCAGGGCCCGCTTGGAGCCTGCTGGCGCGCGTGGCGGGCCGGCGTCGCCTGGCGGCCGGGGGCCCGTGGGCCCGGGACGTGCAGCGCGCAGGCGCCTGGGAGCTGCGCTTTTCCTACCGCGCGCGCTGCGAGCCGCCGGCCGTTGGGGCCGCGTGCGCGCGCCTCTGCCGCTCGCGCGGCGCCGCCTCGCGGTGTGGCCCGGAACTGCGCCCCTGCCCGCAGATTGAGGACAAATGCGAGGCACCGCGTGAGTCCTGCGTTCAACCCCACCCCATTCCGTCACGGCCCCTCCGGCTCCTTTCACAACCTAGACCCTCTTCAGGGAACTGGGGACCCGAGAACCCCTCGCCAGCTTCACTCATGGTCTTCAGCCTGCTCCCATGATCCAGCTACCACTTTCTGGGAAACTAAGGACCCTAGACTTCTCTCCAGCCCTGCCTGGGCACTCCAGCCCCCTTCCCTCTTCCCAGCACACTTGTCTCCCCAAATAAGAACCGCACACCCATTTCCCATCCTTGTACCCCCAGTTCCTCCCCTAATCCATACCCACACCCCTTTCCAGATGCTCAGACCCCAAAGCTCTTCTAATTCTGGGGCCCTCCCTACCCCCACTCAGGAGCTTTGGAAGCTCCTCCCATCCCCCCCAGGGGTTCCACCATCCTCCCTCCCTGTGATTGCACTCTAGACCCCACTGCGTTCTAAAGCTTGGAATCCCCCAACCCACCCTAGATGTCCCAATGTCTGAGCCCCACTGAAGCCCCTAGGACCTCCAGGCTTATCCAGATCCTCCCAGACCTCCCCTAATCCAAGGCCCTCCCATTTCCCCTGAAAAGCCAAGGGTCCCTCCTCAATCCTCTTCCTTCATTCTCCTCTCTCCAAGCTCAGACCTGGGAACCCCCACTCCATTCTCTTTCCAAGAGCACAGACTCTGGAACTCATTGTTCTGGGTTCAGATCCTAGCTGTGCCACTTCCTAGCTGGGTAAATCACCCTGCCTCTCAGGGCCTCAGTTTCCCTGTCTGTAAACTGGGAGTCGCAATACCATCTAGCCCATTGGGTTGACAGTCACAAAGATGAAACAAGTGATGCACGGAAAGTGCTCAGAAATTTCTCTGATTTCCTATCCTCCCTTCATCAATATTCCTCTTCCCTCTGCCTCTCCTTCCCCCATAGCGGCATGTCGAGCAGGCTGCAGTCCAGAGCACGGCTTCTGTGAGCAGCCCGATGAATGTCGATGCCTGGAGGGCTGGACTGGGCACCTCTGCACAATCCCTGTCTCCACCAGCAGCTGCCTCAGCCCCAGGGGCCCATCCTCTGCTACCACTGGATGCCTCGTAGCTGGGCCTGGGCCCTGTGACGGGAATCCATGTGCCAACGGAGGCAGCTGTAGTGTCAGTATCACACAGACCCCCACCCCCCAATCCTGGGTAATACTTTTCCCAGGGAGTCCCCTGTCTGGGGCTCCATGAGACAACAGCCTTGGCGGGGGGGGGCGCTGGGACAGCTATCAGGGAGGGCTTCCTGGAGGTGTCCAGCCTGCATCTGGGGCCTTGAAGTAGGATGACGTGTTGGGGAGAGCAGCCCCAGTGGGTGGCACCTAAAGGTGTAGATGTGGGAATGATGAGGGATCCTATCGGGCCACAAACTGCCCCGCCTATGGGGTAGAGAACAAGTCAGAGCTCAAGGTAGGGGTGGTGGGGCCGAGTGGGTTGAGGATTAGGGAAGGGCGGGCATCAGAGAAGGCTTCTGAAGATGGACCTGGGCTGGGGCTTCTGAAGTAAGCCCCATTTGGCAGACAGGAGGCGACTGGAGAAGCTAGACTGGACGAGTGGCCTGGGGGAAGTGAAGGTGTGGTGGTGGGAGTGAGCCTAGGATGAAGCAGAGCCTGGTGTGGGCCACCTGGACACTGCCACCACGGGACAGTGAGAAACACTCAGCGTTCAAGTTAGGGGGAGGGCCTGAGAAGGGGAGATCCAAGGAAGGCTCCATGGAGGAGGTGGGCTTAGAGCTAAGACCTGGAATTAGGCCAGGGCCATGCGGACAGCATCGGGGAGGGCAGACAGGGCGGGCAGCATTTGGCAGCAAAGGTGTAGAGGTGGGAACGGGATCTCTCCGGGCCTCCAGAGCCTCCCTGCTGTGGGGTTGGATGTGCAGACCCAGAAACGTGGAACAGAGAGGTTGTCTCGGCCTCAGGGACTTCCTCGGTGAGGCCCCTACACCCTAGGAGGTGGGACTAGACCAGGAGCAGCCCCCCAATGGTCAAGACTGAGGAAGGGGGGACTTCCCTGGCGGTCCAGTGGTTAAGACTCCGTGCTTTCACCACAGGAGGCACGGGTTCAATCCCTGGTCAGGGAACTAAGATCCCTCATGCCGCACCGGGTGGCCAAAAAAAAAAAAGACTAAGGAGAGGGATGGGATTTCTAAGGAGATGCTGATCCAAAGTCTTCTTGCCTGTGCCCAGGAGACCCTGGGGTCCTTTGAATGCACCTGTCCCCGTGGGTTCTACGGGTTGCGGTGTGAGGTGAGCGGGGTGACATGTGCGGATGGGCCTTGCTTCAACGGCGGCTTGTGTGTGGGAGGTGCGGACCCCGACTCTGCCTACATCTGCCGTTGCCCGCCCGGTTTCCAAGGCTCCAATTGTGAGAAGAGGGTGGACCGGTGCAGCCTGCAGCCATGCCGGAATGGTAAGGTGGAGAGGACAGAGCGGTGAGGGCGGGGACTGGGGGTCCCTGCATGGTCAGTGGGCAAGAGCAGGGCTTGGCTCACACAGTCCCGGGTGGGGATCCTGACTTTGCCTCCTCTCGGCCTGCGGCTGGGCTCCCCTCTGCCCAGCCTCAGTTTGTTCTTCTGTAAAATGGGCGAGGTGACATTCATATCTCATAACTATTTGTTGAGCATCTACTGTGTGCCAGGCCCTGTTCCGGGGATACAGTAGGGAATGAAATGAAAACCCCCACCCTCACAGAGCTGATGAAGCAGAGAGACAATAAAGAAGATCAATGAGTAAATATAGGTTTTGTGGTGATAAAAACTAAGAAGAGGGAATCCCCTGGTGGTTAGGACTCTGTGCTTCCACTGCAGGGGGCATGGGTTCAATCTCTGGTTGGGGAGCTAAGATCCCAAAAGCCGTGAGGTGCCACCAAAAATAAAACAAACAAAAAATGAAAAAAAAAGAAAAAGCCAGAAGGGGGATGAGAAGTAGTGTGTGTGGGATGGCAGGTTGACGTTTTAGCTAGAGTGGGTAAGGAAGACCATGCTGCAGGTAGGGAGGCAGCCGTGTGGGGATCTGAGGGAAGAGTATGTTCAGGCAGAGGGATGAACAAGTGCAAAGACCCTGAGGTAGGAATATGCCTGGTGTGTTCAGCATCGCAGGGAAGCCAGTGTGGTTGGAGCAGAGGGAGTGAGGGTAGGCTGGTGAGAGATGAGGTCAGGGAGGTGACTGGGACAGATCCTGTAGGGCTTCATGGGTTATGGGGAGGATTCTGGTGTTACCCTGAGATGGAGCCAGAGGAGGGTTCTGAATAGTGGTGAGACCTGATTTGACATAGGTAGTAAAATATTAAATGAGACCATGAATGTGAAGGGCTCAGCGCCCTATTATTTTAATACTAATTCTCTCCAAAACGCTCACTGAGTGTTCACGCTGGGCTGAGTGGTAGTGGGAACACAGCAGTGGTACATAGGGGTAGCAGTCCAGAGGGGAAGACAGAGTCGTCCTTAGACAGGGTCCACAGTGGCCAGGGTGTGATGGCGGAGCGCAGGGTTGGGATGGAGGAAGACTCGGATGGCTTTCTGGAGGAGGGGACACCTGAGCACAGACCTGGAGGATGAGCTCGAGAAGAGAACAGGTGAAAAGAATGAGAGAAAAGGAGGAAGGGAAAAGGGAGAAGAAGGCACGGGCAAAGGCCAGGTGGTTCAAACCCGTCGTTCCAGAACTGCTGAAACTATTTCAGTACGGTTAAAGCCGAGAGAAAAAGAGACAGAGACCCAGAGAACCAAAGAGGTGTGAGGCCGAGTTAATCCAAGACTTCACCAGGCGGAAAAGAGGCGGGTCGGTTTTCCAGGCAAACTCCCAGAGGCTGGCCCTAGAGTTAGACGGTAGAGGGGCGCCCAGAGAAAAAATGAGGGCGGGGATCACCGAGCTGAGAATCGCGGGCGGGCTTCGAGCGGCGGGCTTGGGGGACTCCCCTCAATCGGGCCGCGCCCCTGACGCTCTCTTCCCCACAGGCGGGCTCTGCCTGGACCTGGGCCACGCCCTGCGCTGCCGCTGCCGCGCGGGCTTCGCGGGGCCACGCTGCGAACACGACCTGGATGACTGCGCCAGCCGCGCCTGCGCCAACGGCGGCACCTGCCTGGAGGGCGGCGGCGCGCGCCGCTGCTCCTGCGCGCTGGGCTTCGGCGGCCGCGACTGCCGCGAGCGCGCCGACCCCTGCGCCGCGCGCCCCTGCGCCCACGGCGGGCGCTGCTACGCCCACTTCTCCGGCCTCGTCTGCGCCTGCGCGCCCGGCTACATGGGCGCGCGGTGCGAGTTCCCGGTTCACGCCGACGGCGCAGGCGCGTTGCCCGTGGCCCCGCCGGTTCTGAGGCCGGGGGACCCGCAGCGTTTCCTTCTGCCACCGGCCTTGGGACTGCTGGTGGCCGCGGGCTTGGCCGGCTCTGCGCTCTTGCTGGTCCACGTGCGACGCCGTGGCCCTGGCCGGGATACTGGGTCTCGCTTGCTGGCGGGGACACCGGAGCCATCGGTCCACGCGCTCCCTGATGCACTCAACAACATGAGGACGCGGGAAGGTGCCGGTGATGGCCCGAGGTGAGGGGCTTGTCCGCAGACGTAAGCCTTGTCCCTCTCGGCTTCTTGTATCAATCTCCGTAATGCAATTGGCCTGTTTTCTTGATGGGCCTTCCTTGATTGGTCCCTTTCTCTTATCCCAGCTCCAACCTTTTTCTGGTTGGGTCGTTTCACAGTTCCTCTGGTTGGCTTTGGGTTCCCTTCCTTGGTGGGTGGGAAAACAAGATATGAGAATTTAAAGTGTCTGGATCTTACTCTTTTCCTCCCGCAGCCCGTCCTCAGATTGGAATCGCCCTGAAGATGGAGACGCTCGTTCGGTTTACGTCATATCTGCTCCTTGTATCTATGCTCGGGAGGTAGTTACCCACCTTTCCCCACCCTGCGCACGTTGGGCATGCTGGGCAGAGGCAGCTCCTGCTTTTCCTGTAGCTCTCCTTTATCTGTAAAATGAAGAGGGTAGTGTCTCTGGAAGGTCCTCTGCCCATTTTTCAGTTTTGACTTAATTTAGTTCTATCTTGCATGCCTTTTGCTATCGTTTTGAGCTACTTGGCATCTTCTCTTTGGACGACCTTTGGGCCTCAAGAGGTCACAGTGGGGAGCCTCAGCCAGAGCTTCTCCACTGATTTCCACTCACTGGGGAGAGGGAGGGGAGGTGGAGGGGCAGACCTTTCTAATGCTTCCTACTTACTCTGTTTCTAGGCCTGAGCTGCCCCTTCTCCATCGGCACCTGGGGACAGAACCTGGATATTTTTGTATTCTCTGCTTCAGACACTTTGGAGTTCAAGCTGGAAGGGGTGATGGGGAGAGTTTTGCCATTGGAAGTTGTACATAATGGTTATTTATATCCTATCTCTTTTTCTCTCCCCATCTCTCCAGAGACATCTATAAAGGCTCTTAGTTTGATCAGCTTTGACTCATCAAGTTGAGTGCTTTGTATGTGGTTTTGGGGCTGAGGGGAGAGATTTTGTCTCCTGAGAAGAATAGTAGGACTCTACTGCAGGGGTCAGAAACAAAGTAGTTTAAATAAACAAGAGAACTTATTAGTTTATAAAAGTGAAAATCCTGTGGCAGGTGTAGCTTTAGCAGGGCTGGATTCAGGGGCTCAGTGTTTTCCTCCAGTTGTCTCTAGGATGACTTCATATGTAGACAGGCTTTCATTGGCCCTGGCTTGTCACATGGCCTTGCTCAAACTAGGGGCCAGGCAGTATGGCTTAGTTTGATTGGCCAGGCTTGGCCATCTGTCTAGTGTGTGGCAGGGATTAGGTCAGCCTGTCCAAACCACATGGAATATGTGGGCAAAGGAGTGTCCCTTTCTGTATCAAAAATCAGCATTTGTTACTAGATGTAAGTACTGTACCTGGCAGGCAAACGGACAGAACCAGTCAGTGAGAGCAGAAAGTAACTATTTTACAGAGGAATGGGAGGCTCAGAGAGTGGAGTAACTGCTGCAGTTCCTTCCTGATGAGATGGAACAAATCTAGGTAAGATCTAGCAGAGAGGGGGAACCTTCCTAAATTTGGGGACTCTCTTAAGACAGTTCAGCACACACCTAATACTGCTTCTACCACTGAAAATATAAAAAGCCTGCATCAGCCAATTTCTGCCAATCCTCCTTCCCCATATTTTCTAGTGGGGAGTAGGCTGGGACAGTGCCCAAGCACTTTTGGAAATGAGCAAAATTATAGGAACTGAAGATGAGAGAACAGAGAAGAGTAACAAATGGAATATAGCAACAAATGAACAAATGAAGGAGTCCTTTTATTAGAACATAAGCCAAGGGATCCCCATGTTCTTTTAATTCAGTCAATGATACCATATATTGAATAAATACTTATACATACAAATTCTCCTTTCAAGTTTCACTATATTGAATTTCTGTGTCATGAGATTTAACTGTACCATTAAGGAATATGGACATTGAAACAAAAGCCTACTATCAAATGATATTTAAATTGAGATTAAAGGCAGACATCAACACCAGCCCATTGTTCCTTCAAAGACAACACAATTTCAGAGGCTGAGTCTTTGCTGCCTTGAACAAATTATACCACCTGCCGAGAGAGAGAACTCAATTTAAAAGCAAAGATGGGAAACTGTTATACTCATCATGTATTTTTTTTTAATTTATTTATTTTATGTATTTATTTTTAGCTGCGTTGGGTCCTCGTTGCTGCGTGTGGGCTTTCTCTAGTTGCGGTGAGCGTGGGCTACTCTTCATTGCAGTGCACGGGCTTCTCATTGCGATGGCTTCTCTTGTTGCAGAGCATGGGCTCTAGGTGCGCGGGCTTCAGTAGTTGCGGCATGTGGGCTCAGTAGTTGTGGCTCGCGGGCTCTAGAGCGCAGGCTTAATAGCAGTGGTGCACGGGCTTAGTCGCTCTGCGGCATGTGGGATCTTCCCGGACCAGGGATCGAGCTCGTGTTCCCTGCATTGGCAGGTGGATTCTTAACCACTGCGCCACCAGGGAGGTCCCTTCATCATGTATTTTTGATCAGTGACTGCATGCAAGCTGAAGGCAGGCAGCTGAATCCCATGGATTCCTCCCTTTGATGCACTTCTGGTGTCAAGGATGCCTCACCTATCTCAGAGTCTTGGCATCATCACTGTACATATCGGTGAGTCATCACAGGAACAGTACTGGCTGGATTATCAAAGAGTGATGACCAGAGTCCTCTGATTCCCCACCATAAGGGAAGAGTCCCACACCCGAGTCTGGAGGCCCTTTAAAGTGCAGGCTCTGTTCTATCTCTTTGCCTCACAGGCTGCTGCAGGCTCAGCCTAAGGTCATAGCCTCTGGGGCAAGGAAGACTGTCTCAGATGATCAGAGCTTGCAGGGAAGAGAAAGTTATTCTGGTCCAAATCCTTCACCTTAAAGTTGAAAGGAAGCAGGGCCCCAGAGGAGTAAGGTGGAAGGCCTTGCACACCAAGGAGAAATTTGTCATTTTTTTTCTCTTTTGACAGAGCTTTAAATCTTTAAATCAGGCATGCACTTATTGCATTTAGCACAATGGCAGTAGCAAATAAAGTAACCTAAATGATCACTCCAAAAAAGCACAAACAAAGACAAAAAACCAAAAAGCCTACAAATGCACAGAAATCAGACTGCTTTGGTTCAGACCTTGGTTCTGCCATGTATTCAGACAAGTCACTTTACCTCTTGGTGCCTTAATTTCCTTATCTGTAAAATGAAACTAGTAGTAGAATCTGCTTCAGAAGTTTGTGAGTATTAAATGAGTTAATAATTACAAAGCATTTTATAACAGAGGCTGGCATGCAATAGATGCTCAGTAAATATTACTTCTCAAAATTATGCTATAAGAGGAAAGCCCATTTCAAGTTCATTTCACAGAGGGGCAAAGTGAAGCCCAGAGAGGGGTAGATGCTTGCCTAGCATCGCACAGAAAATTCAGTGTCTTTCTTGATCTTCCTGGTTTTGGGGACCCAGGCCCAAGGTTTAGCACAGGAGGGGCTCTCAGGGGTTGGGAAGCACAGTGGACTTCTGTTTGAAACCCTTCCATGAATCTGAATAAGATCTGTACCTGACCTAATAGTATTGGACTGGACTTCCCTAGTGGTCCAGCAGTTAAGAATCCACTTGTCAGTGTAGGGGACGTGGGTTTGATCCCTGGTCCGAGAAGATCCCACATGCCTTAGGGCAACTAAGCCTGTGTGCCACAACTACTGAGCCCACACGCCGCAACTAGAGAAAGCCTGCACGCAGCAATGAAGACCCAACACAGCCAAAAATAAATAAATTGAGAAGTTAAAAAATATGTTTATTAATTGATTATAAAATAAAATCTGCATTTTCAAGGAGAAAAGTCCTTTCCAGAGGTTTAGCAGATATGGTCTTAAATCTGATTGGCCATACCGGGGTCAAATGTCCATCTCAGGCCATTCAGTCCCTAGCAAATAGGAATGGATTGCCAAGCTCAGAGCAGCAATTCTCAAATTGGTCTCAGGCCCACCTACACTTGTAAAAGTTATCGATCGTCCCAAACAGCTTTTGTTTATGTGTATTCATCTACTGTTATTCATATCTTAGGAATTAAAACTGAGAAATCCTAAAACCAATTTAAAACAATAAGCCCTTACATGGTAACATAAATAATATTTTTTATGAAAACATAATCATTTCCCCAAAAAAATAATTCAGTGAGAAAAGTGACATTGTTTTACATTTTTTGCAAATCTTGGAGCATTTAGTCCCTTTATATTTAAGGTAATTAATTATTTATTTATATTTATTTATTTTTTTGCGGTACTCGGGCCTCTCACTGTTGTGGCCTCTCCCGTTGCGGAGCACAGGCTCCGGATGCACAGGGTCAGCGGCCATGGCTCACGGGCCCAGCCGCTCTGCGGCATGTGGGATCTTCCTGGACCGGGACACGAACCCGTGTCCCCTGCATCGGCAGGCGGACTTTCAACCACTGCGCCACCAGGGAAGCCCTTAAGGTAATTATTGATATGTATTTTTTTTCTGCACCATGAGGCTTATGGGATTTTTAGTTCCCCGACCAGGGATCGAACCTGGGCCCTTGGAAGTGAGAGCGTGGGGTCCTAACCACTGGACTGCCAGGGAATTCCTGATATGTATGTCCTTATTGCTATTTTGTTAATTGCTTTGGATTTGTTTTTGTGGGTCTTTTTCCCCTTTCTTTTGTGATTTGATGACTATCTCTAGTGTTAGGTTTGGATTCCTTTTTCTTTTCTTTTTTCTTTTTTTTTCTTTTTTTTTTTGCGGTACATGGGCCTCTCACTGTTGTGGCCTCTCCCGTTGCGGAGCACAGGCTCCGGACGCGCAGGCTCAGCAGTCATAGCTCACGGGCCCAGCCGCTCCGCGGCACGTGGGATCCTCCTGGACCGGGGCACGAACCCGTGTCCCCTGCACTGGCAGGTGGACTCTCAACCACTGCGCCACCAGGGAAGCCCCTCCTTTTTCTTTTTTGTATGTATATCTATTACGGAGGTTTGGTTTGCGGTTACCATGAGGTTTTTGTGTAGGAGTCTATATACATACGTGATTGTTTTAAGTTGCTGATCTCTTAATTAGAAATGCATTTTTAAAACCTTGCATTTGTACTCTCCTCCCCTCACAATTACTGTTTTGTTGGTTTTTGCGGTATGCGGGCCTCTCACTGTTGTGGCCTCTCCCGTTGCGGAGCACAGGCTCCGGACGCGCAGGCTCAGCGGCCATGGCCCACAGGCCCAGCTGCTCCGCGGCATGTGGGATCTTCCCGGACCGGGGCACGAACCCGTGTCCCCTGCATCGGCAGGTGGACTCTCAACCACTGCGCCACCAGGGAAGCCCTACTGTGTGTTTTTTTTTTTTTTTTAAATATGTAATTAATTAATTAATTTTTGGCTGCACTGGGTCTTCACTGCTGCACGCGGGCTTTCTCTAGCTGCGGCGAGCGGGGGCTACTCTTCG